GGCCCAGGTGAGGCTGGGCAGGGCGGATCAGGCCTGAGGAGCCCCCGCACCCCGAGAGCTGCATCAGCCCGTCCCGCCCTTCTCAGTGCGCTCATATCCCTGGCTAAAGGCACTGCACGCGGAACGGGGAATACTGTATTCATCTCCTGACGGAAAAAGACTTTATAATAAAAATAAATAAATTTAACTACAATTTTAAGTAAAATTTAAAACGGCTGGGTGTTGGAAGGCCCTTCATCAGGTTACCAGAGGCTTGCTACACTTACTCTGAGTCTTCAGGAGAGGAACCACGGAGTATAGGTACGGAGAAACTGTATGTGCATGGCTCCAGTCACACGCATTTGAGGTGCACCTCGAAATGCCCACCTCCTTGTGCTGTGCAGCTCACAGGGAGCAGACTGTCAAATTCGTAATGTCCACAATCACACTGGCTACCAGGTGGAGAGTAAATTTCTTCCTACTGGGAATTGGCTTGCTTCTCAAATAATGAATATTGGATAATTGTTTGCCCTTATGTTTGCAAAGCAGGAACAGCTTTTGGAGGTATGTCCACAGTTGGTTAAGAAGTTTTAGCATCAGAAAACCCATGAAGTTGAAATGGAGTGGGGGAAATAAGGATAACATTTTTCTAATAGAAGAAGATTAATTTAAAATGTACAGAAATGTAAATAGAAGCTGTCAGTCAGAAATGTTCATTCTGTAGAACTACTGTTTAATCTCCATGTGCTCTGACTTTAGCTATCCTTCATCCTTAAAAGTTTACTTAGATACCTTTTTATATTTTCCCTCATGCTTCTCCTAAGATAAGCTATCCTTCTCCCTAATCTCTTTACTTGCAAGTTTTCTTCAATTTTTTTTGGTTGTTTTTTAATCTCTCATAATTTTTCAATCTCAGTTTTGAGTTAGGGGGACCAGAAATAGAGAGAGTATCCTAAAGGAGACTATTTCTCAGCTTTATATAAGTGTACTTAAATATTCTCTGTATTGTTATTATTCCATGTCTTATTTATCCTATTGGCTTGACTTTTGTGATCACATCCTCATATGACAAATCATCATCATAAGAAACTGTATGAATCCTGCAAACTCTTATTTTCCATTTCCCTGCATTTATCTAATTTCATTTAATTTCATAGTATCGTGTTTGCCCATTCATTTACCCTCTAGACTTACTGAGTTCTTGCTGTCTCTCTGATCCTGTCTGACTGCCTGTCCTCTAATATTTGTTGGTTTTCTATTTGTTGCTTTTTCAGATAATAAATAAATGATTCAGCAGAGTACCAAACTCAGAGACTATCAGAGCAGAAAGGGGCATTTCAGATAATTATATGGACTACAGGCTTAACCTGGATATAACTGCTGAAATAGTACCACTGCAAAACAGTATCTGAACAGAATATTGAGGTGATCCATCAGTAAACTCTTGCCCCTAACAGAAATGTCGGTCCATGTTATGTTCATGTTGATATTTTATCCCTGAGCTAGTTATATCTTTTTTCTTAGCAGCCTTTTGTGTCTTTTGTCGCTTTTAAACTTCATTATTGGGTGCTATGGGTTTCTTTCCACAAGGCAGTTTGAGTGGCAGAAACAACAGACATACAAGTTTACAATAAGAAATCAAGTTTCTATGGAGCTCTATGTTAAGCAACTTGGCAAAACCCTTTGAAGTCTAAATTATACCTGTTAGCTCTATATTAATTACCTGTAACACATTTCTGTAAAAGATTATTGAGACATAATTATCTTCACAGGAAATTAGTGCTATTTAGATGCTTTCAGATCATGCTTTTCTAGGTGCTACTGTTTTTACTTACTTTTTTCCTCTACAGATACTACAATCTTACAATTTCTCAGGTTACCCTAAAAAATTGTTTTTAAAAAGGTATTTTATTTTAAACCAGAGATTGGATGCTTTAATATTTCACTTCAAGCTATTCTTAAACTCTTCCTAAACTTGTAAATAAACATTACCCAAACAGAAGTAAAATTTTATGAAGTGGAGTAATAGCCTATTAGGACAATGTATTTTCCTTGTAAAACACAGACAGTCTGCCTTCAGTTATATTTTTAGATCGTGTGACATTAAAGTGTTATTGCAGGTTTTTAAATTTGCTGCTTAGTCTGGGAGAACAATTTCTTTTTTGTTACCAAAAATGTAACAGGTCTGGTTATGAAAAAGCTGATGAAAAACATTTTCTGAAATTTAGGTTGGTCATATATTCCTGATCACTTTTATCATGACAATAAGGATTCTTTCAAAGGTAGCTGTTTTGCAGTTGTGTCTTCCCATGAACAAAAAAGTTCACTTTTGTAGTTTATTTCCTCATTAGCTAGTGAAGCTTTCTCAATTCTGTAGTATTTTTTTAAAAAACATCCACTGAATTCTATTTTCATCCAATTTTCCTTTTTTTTCCTTTTTTAAATTTTAAATTCAGTGACTATGTATCTTTCGAGACTCAGTGTGTTTTGATTGATTTGATTGAAATGCAGCATCTAAACCTTGCAGTGGCTTTCTTAACACCCTACAGGTATTTGACACAGGAGTTTAATGATACTGCAGCAACCAGTGCTCAGCTGCTTCAGCGGCCGCCGGACTGCAGGCAGCATCACTAATATCAATAATCATCTTACAAGTTCCAGAACTTACTGTACCAGCAAACATGAGCATCAGCAGTATTTTCCCCGAAACCTGAACACTGAGCTGTTTGACCATTTCTGTACAGGATGCTGATGACGAAGCTTTGGCATTTTAATTTCGATGCCTCTGAAGTCCCCTAGCAGCGCGTATTCAGTTTGCCCTAAACTCCTAATTCGAGCCCGGGCAGTCCGGACTCACTGAACGTTCACTGTCTTTCATGACGAGTTCTGTAACTGCGTAGACTCGTCTCTGTGGTCCCTTTTCCTCAGAATTTGAAGTTTTCTCAAAACTGTAGGCTCTCCTAACTGCTGCGCCAACCCTACCCGCTCATCCTGCCGCTCCTCACGGAACATGACCCTGCGGACGCCTGACTAATTTTGGCTAGGTAATAGGAGATTTATACTTGATTGTTTTTTCATTGATTTATCAAAAAATAAAATGTGACAAATTAGTTGTTGGCCAAAGTAGCATTGAAATTTATGACTAAGCAGAATTTGTTGCAGATACAGCAATTAAGATATAGCAACTAAGCTATATCAAATCCCTGATCTAAAATTAACTGATGTTGAGTTTATAATTTAAAAATAAGTGAATAGGGATATTTTTTCATTAGTGTGTGTTCACATGGGGACAGTGTTTTCTGTTCTACTATTCAGGGCACTATCTTTCATTTCCTGTCTCTGTCCTTCGACAAGGCCTGTCAGAAGAGGAAAGTAGAAAAGTCTGATATATGGAAATATCTGTGTACTCAACACAAAGTACACAAGTGGAAAACCTGTGTAGAATCCATGCCAATCAATTAAACCTGCGCTCCCCGGGACGTGTCCCCTGCCCCGCCGCAGCGCAGATCCCGCTTCTCTCCCGCTTCAGTGCAGGCTGTGGAGGCGTCGGTATCGCTTTTTGATCCCAATGGCAAAGTCATGCGGTGCGATGTAGGTGAAGTGGTTTGAATGTTGCCGTCCAAGCGATGACACGGCTGATTTGTGTGGGTGTTGTTGGAGGCCACTTCAGTGAGTTCTGCCGAGGCACAGTGCTGCCTTACCAGTGACTGCTTGTGTGCTTCCTGCCTTCTGCAGTAATGCCGTGATTCATTCCCACCTCCTGGGGGAGGATTGGTTTTCGGTTTGTTCAAGTTTTGATTTGTTGTTTTTTTTTTTCCATCCTGTTTTCTAGCTTCTTTGTACCTGAGGGGTAATTTAAATCCTTGGCCTGAAATGGTGGGATGAATAAATTGAGTGAATTCTGTCATGGAAGCCCCTAGTGCAAGCTAGTAAAGACATGATAGCAGTCTCATGAAAAGGTTGCTGAATTAAACCAACTTTACAGGCTGCTTGATATCCTTACAGTACTTTATTAGTCTTGGTGCAGCCTTCCTGCCTGCCCCTGCTGTGGCCTCTTGCCTCATCGTGCTCCTGGAGCAGCAGGAAAACAGCTTGCACCATTTCTTCGGTGGTGATCAAGGAGGAGCAGGCTGTGGCCATTGCTAGCAGAGCACCCGGTGAGGGAGACTCATACTGCCTGGGGGTTATATCTGCTTACCTTCTTGCACTGGAGGGAGTCCAGCTGCTGTCTTGATTTACAGTCTGCCATAAGCTGAAGTTCTTCAAAGGGAGTTTTCTCTCCCCGTGTACCTGAAGAGAGAAGAGATGAGTAGGGGACTACTGCAAAAGACCCAAAAGAGAATATTCACACCCTGCTTTCTTGGAGGCTTAATAGTATCCTGGTACTCTGTGAAAATATGCAAATATTGTTTTAGTTGGGATAAGTAAAAAAGAACAAACAGAAAAACGCCAGTATTTTACAGATACGTGGTGTCAGATATTTGGGGTTTTTTCATTTGAGCTAATTGTATTCCTTGGATTCCTTGTATTCCTTAACCTTTGGTTTATTTTTTACTTTGTAAGAAGCTGTAGCTGAGGAGTCCAAGTTCCAGGAAAAACATCTCTAAAGTATACATTTAATGTCAAGGCTGTAGGACTTGCTTCTTTACCTTACTTTTGTGATAATTGTAGCTTTATTTTTGGCCCACAGCTCTTCTACATTCTTAGGTTTTGTTTCATTATTTCTTTGGAACATAAGCTCCATTAAATTGGCAGCATAATTCCATTATTACTCTGTTTTCACCTCTGTTTCTTATGCAAATATATTACCAGACAGAAAGATTCACATGCACACTTTCTAAAGCCAGCTGTAGGCTCTGTGAAACCCCCATCCCTGTCCATTATAGCTGTGGCATGTAAAGCTTATTCAGCTACTGCTGAAAGTGTAGTCTCTTAATTTTAGTGTTGAAAATGTGAGTTAGTAAATAGAACATTAATTTGTAATACCTTTACTATTTTAAACCCAACCTTTCTTCTCCATGTTAGCCTATTGAATTGCATGTTTTTATTAGCAACACCATACAAGAGTAACCATTCAGTCTTTCCTAAAATTATACTGGATTTTTTTTGTATTCAAATAAACACATTAAAAGCTCAAGTGCAAATTGATATTAAAATAACTATAACTTCTATTTTAATTTTTTTGCAAACATAAAATTAAAGTAGTCCAGTTTTGTCATACTTGAAAGTGTTTGCAGCTTCAGGTTCAGGTAACTTTTGCATTCTAAATAATTTGCTATTTTCTGAATTTTAAGAGCATTTCACTCAGAATTTAGTTTAGAGCTTGGGTTTACTGTTTTAAGATGCTAGAAATATCCTCTTGGATATTTTTTCTGCAACTTTCTTGGTGCCATCACAGATTTCTCATTGCATTAAAGAGATGTCTTCTTAGTAACGTTTATCACTAGATGCAATATTGAATTTTCTTCTCTTTTCACATATGGACCAGTTAATTTGCTTTAAATGGTATTTCTTCTGGGAGAGTGTGTCATGCTAGTAGCCAAACCTTGCACAATGTTGTCTGGGGGCTGGTGTTGGTTTGCATAGCTCCAGTAATGGTTGCCACATGTGTCCATGGAGTTTGATTCTGCCCAATTGTTTTGTTGTCTACAGTAGTAAAGAATCAAAGCTATGAAGCTACTACTGAAGCTTTTGACTTTGTAAATATATACACTTGTAATTCAAAATCAAATGAATTTGTTAGGACTGTATTCCTTATCCATAAAGTACAGTACACGTATGAATCTGAAACCTACATCCTGAAAAAATGCTGAAAGTTTGTAACTAATACTAGTTGGTAATTAGAAAAAGTGACAGATGTAAGAATAACTAACTTTCAGAATAAGAAAAATCACAATTAAAATTTTTTTTCAATAGTTCTCTGGTTGGAATGGGATGTAAAAAAATAGTTCAGGTGCCTTCCTGGTCTAATATTAGCATATATGGAAAGGTCCATGTGTAATAATCTAATAATTCTTATATTCACTTTATAATAAGGCAGTTGTGGTTGTTAGCTGCACTGTCATAACAAAATCTAATCTTGTGTAGCAGTCCTGTGTACAGAAATGGGAAAAAAGTTACTCTTTTTCTTTTTTTCCAGTTTTTCAACTGTGGGCCTAATGTGCTGCATCAAGACAACAGAGCCCCGCAAGCTGCATTCTTTTCACCTCTTCAAAAAGTGATGTTGCCACCAAATACCTTCCAAGGAAAAGTGGCCTTTATAACTGGTGGAGGTACTGGACTTGGCAAAGGGATGACAACAACTTTGTCCAGCTTAGGTGCCAAGTGTGTTATAGCGAGCCGGTAAATATTAATGAAGTTTTAGAGCTTTGATTTAGTATGGAATGCTGGCTTAATCTGTTTTCTGTTTCATAATCTATCTTGCTTTCTTCTTCATAAACATTTATTACATTTATTCTTTTAAATTATAATGTCATATTGTAAATACCAGAAACTTGCAGATCCATTTACAAAAGCCTAATGGCATAACCAGCACTAGGAAGAAAGAAACCAAATGCATTTCCACGAAATGTGACAGCAAAATAAGCAACCCCGAATGTTAGATGTAGATTCAGCTAATGCCTAAAAGAGAGCAAAAAACTGGAATATTCATTACTAAACATTTTGAGTTATTGCAGGTGTTCTTCATACAGATTTGATTTTTAGCAAAGAATCAAAACCATTCATCATAATCCTTATGACTTGAAAACAAACTCTGATTTTCCTTTAATAAAGATGACCTTTCTGTAGTTGTTCTAAGAAGCACTATAGTAAAGAGTAGAAAAAGAATCTCATTTTTAATCAAAATAGACAAGTGTTGTGACATTCATCCAAACAGTGGTTTAGCTATTTATTCTGAATATGCATGTCCCTTCTAAAATACTAGTAGAGTAGTCGCTGAAACTAGAGTTTTTTTATGATTATGTACTCAGAATACAAATATTTTTTTCAAAGTTGTCACTTTAGCTTAAGATAATCTTACTCTAATAACTTCTGAGTTGAAGTAGCACTAACTAATTACAAAAAAATAAAGCTCAGTTTTAATGAAAATTGGCAACATGCACACACACATTTAAAGTTTTAGCTCATATTTGCTCAGAAAAAAATATTTGAATGTCATTAAACTGAATTGTAATTGCATTTAATTGAAATTCAGTGATGTTTTGTACTTCTAGGAAGCTCGATGTTTTGAAAGGAACAGCAGAAGAAATTTCTTCTAAAACAGGGAATAAGGTAAATTCTCATAGAATTGTGAATATGCTAGTTATATTTTAAATGTTTATAGGATTTTAATGCATTTATGTGCTTCTGTAGGCTTGTTTAGTTTGAGTGATACAGTTTTGAAGTCTTACAGCTTCATTTCCATTATTATATAGGTTCATGCCATCCAGTGCGATGTCAGAGATCCAGCTTCAGTTAAGAATGCTGTAGCTGAAGCAATCCAAGTGGCAGGACATCCTGATGTAAGTGTTCTAATGAAAGGATATAACTTCTTTCATGACTACAAATACTCTGCTTTGTAGGTACGAAGAAAATGACTATGATAGAAAGTTAATGGAATCTAAAGAGACCGTAGCTGAAAGTGGCACCACATCAAGATAAACTAAAACTCAGACTCATTACTATTGTTGGGAGCCGATGCCAGGGAGGCTATGAGCGGTCAGGATGTTTTCACGACTTTTCCCCCCCAGTTTGGAGGGGTTGTTGAGTAAGACCGAGGCTCTCACGTGGTGCTGCCTCTCACAGAGGAACAGCCGCTGCGGGACCATATTTTAGAGTGGTAGTTAGATACACACCCACCACACTCACCAGTTGCTACTGAGACCAATGTTTAGTTTATGAATTAACTGGTTTATTAATGGTTAACACAAACTGAGGGATGAGGTTTAGGGACAATGTAAAAAGGGCAAATGGCTACCAGGGATATATTATGGAAATAATGTGTCCTTTAGGGAGGTAATGCAAAAAGTACTGTGCTCATAAGGTGTTCTCTCTGGGGGAGGGTTGTGGATCAAAGGAGAGAGAGGGAGGGAGGAGTTGAGCCCGGTAGGAAAGTTAGAGTGTGTGTATGTTTTACCTTTACCTAGGTAAGGTATGTTATGCCTTTACCCTTCAGTAGCACGTGGCTCCTGGGATGTGGCTTCTTCAGCAGGCAGGGCTCAGTAGCAGGTCCAGTAGCAGCTCCGTAGGGAGCGGCTTCCCAGTAACAGTGGCGACACCCTAGCAGCAGCAGGTGGACCGGGCAGGCTCCAATCCTGGGGCAGAGCGGCAGACAGACTAGACAGACGGGGCAGGCAGCTCCAGCAGGATCTCGAAATCTGTGGTTTCAGGGGGCAGCCCCTCGCAGCTTGGCAGCGGTTTGGTTTCCCAGTAACCAGCAGCAAAACAGGCCCTGATGGCTCTGGGAAGGACCTGGTGCTCCAGGGGTCAGAATCCCGGCACGCAGGGGTCAGAATCCTGGCACGCTCATCATTCAAAGCTCCCCAGGGCAGGCAGGCCCGGCAGTCCCAGCACCAGGCTCCGCAGCAGGGGGGCAACCCACGCAAGAAGCATCCGAGCAGGTCTCGGTCCCACCTGCTAAACTCACCGCCTTTTATACCCCCCTGTCCAGTCAGTGCCCTGTCCAGAGCTAATTGGCATCAATGAGCCCCAAGTTAGGGCAGTAACTAGCAAGGGCAATGCATAACTTGTTGCCCATCCTTCCTGCCTTGTATCATTCCTGTTGTTTTGGTTTTGTTTGTCCTCGAGTAGCAGGCCTGGTTTTGGTCTGTTAGCTGGGAATAATCAGGAGAAGGGCTTTGCTGACTTAAAAGGTGTTTTGTTTAGACTTACGTGGGGAAGAAGAAGAACCTATGTTCCTGTGGATCATAAAATACTTAGTGGCCAAATAGACAAAATGTTGTTGTTACTCTAAGGACTGACATTTTCTTTGTGAACAGTGGGTCAAGTGTGATCAGATTCTTTGAATTAAGTGAACAATGGAGTATTGCCCTTATATCCTTCTGAAAAGGTGACTAACCTTGTGCTGTTACACAATTACACCTCTTGCTTATTAAGAGATAGAAATGGAAGTAATAATAAATGTCTTCTTTGGTCTTTGTTTAGCTTATTACAAAACACTAAGAAATTTCCCTGCCCAACTCTCCAACCTGTCTAGGTCTCGCTGAATGGCAGCACAGCCTTCTGTTGTGTCAGCCACTCCTCCAAGTTTAATGTCATCAGCAGACTTGCTGACAGTGTACTCTGTTTTCTTATCCAGGTTGTTGATGAATGTATTGAATAGTAGTGGTCCCAGTACTGGCCCCTGAGGAACTCCAGTAGATACAGGTGTCCAACTAGACTCTGTCCCACTGACCACAACTCTCTTGTCTTCTTTCCTTCAACCAGTTCACAATCCACCTTACTACCCGATCACCCAGACCACCTTTCCTAGTAACTACAGCAGTTGGGAAATGCAGCTCGTTTTCTGTTACTGATACATACTGCAGGTGTTAAAATTTCTGGTGGATTATTTTTCTCTCTCTCTCTTTTTTCCCTCTCTCCCCCCTTCCCCTTCCTCTCTGCCTCATTACTTTTCTACCTGGAAACACTTAGAAGTTCCTTGTCAATTCTTTGCCTCTTCCTAAGGTAATGATAACTTCCTAATTTTTAGTTAACTGTTAGGTTTTTCTTCATTTGTTTCAGATTGTGATAAACAACGCAGCTGGAAACTTCATTTCCCCTTCTGAGCGACTTTCTGCTAATGCATGGAAAACAATAACTGATATTGTGCTTAATGGTACTGCTTTTGTAACTCTGGAAATCGGAAAGGAGCTCATTAAAGTACAAAAAGGTATCTTAAGTGTAAGATAAATAGTAAGTAAGCACTGTGACATTATTACTTGCTTTCCTTGCCTTAAAATTATTATGGCTAGTTTTGAGAGTTTGAAAACAAACAATTTTTAACACTGTATCTTTTCTAGAAACAAACTATTTTGAGTAAAGCCATACTTTTAATATCACACAGCAGAACTGGTTAGCAATTACTTCATTGTAGAGTCTGCCCTTAAAATTGGTCTCACAGGCTGTGAGGTTGAATATAAAAATCTGATTGCAGTTCAGACTAGTTTTGAAACAATTTTAAAATTTAAAAAATAAGACTTAGTTTAAAATATAGGCTGTTATTTCTTTTGATACTTTTATATCAATGTTGGTTTCATTGAGCAACTGAACATGTATTTATTTAAATGCAAATAAGGATATCACTTTTGAGTTTTCCTCCTACAAATAAGTAAAATTCAAAGCTTTAGTATTGGATTAATAGCAGGTTTTAGTTTTGCAGGTCTAATTCTTCATTCTAGACTACCTAGTAATTTGATAAAATACTTTGGCTTTACCTGAAAAATATGAGAGTTTTTTGATATGCTCAATAGCCAAAGATTTTCTTAGCTGGATAATTGTCCTTTAGGGAAAGGTAAGGTGTGCCTTTCTAGGTTAAATCATAGATTGTATACAAAGAATGCCATTCATTTTAAATTATCTTTTAATTATAAATTGAATAACAGCTTACTTTTTTTATCAGAATGATGTAATCTCAAATAATGTTTACAACAGTGAGGTACACAACAGTTTTCCATGTGCCTTTGCTTCTGAATCCTATTTTCTAGGTACAGCCAGTGTGTTGTATTTGCATTGTATTTCTCTAACTCCTGAATTCATTGAGTTTCTTCAAAACTCCTCTCCAGAAAATACTCAGTGGGTTTATACTATTTAATGATAGCAATATAGAGTTAATCTTGTTTCAGTAAGTCTGTAACAGTTTTAGTCAGTTGACAAGGTATTTTCCGTATATGTTTTAGCAGCACATGAGAAAATAATTCCTGCCATTTTAATGCTAATATTGCCACATTAAAAACGCATCCCCATCTCTGACTTACTATAGCATTATAGCAAAGTATTGTAGTAGTTTGCTTAATTGCCTACTGGACACATGCAGTGTCTCTGTATAGTAGTGTGAAATATGGCTTTAAAAATGCTGTTACACAATTACACCTCTTGCTTATTAAGAGATAGAAATGGAAGTAATAATAAATGTCTTCTTTGGTCTTTGTTTAGCTTATTACAAAACACTAAGAAATTTCCCTGCCCAACTCTCCAACCTGTCTAGGTCTCGCTGAATGGCAGCACAGCCTTCTGTTGTGTCAGCCACTCCTCCAAGTTTAATGTCATCAGCAGACTTGCTGACAGTGTACTCTGTTTTCTTATCCAGGTTGTTGATGAATGTATTGAATAGTAGTGGTCCCAGTACTGGCCCCTGAGGAACTCCAGTAGATACAGGTGTCCAACTAGACTCTGTCCCACTGACCACAACTCTCTTGTCTTCTTTCCTTCAACCAGTTCACAATCCACCTTACTACCCGATCACCCAGACCACCTTTCCTAGTAACTACAGCAGTTGGGAAATGCAGCTCGTTTTCTGTTACTGATACATACTGCAGGTGTTAAAATTTCTGGTGGATTATTTTTCTCTCTCTCTCTTTTTTCCCTCTCTCCCCCCTTCCCCTTCCTCTCTGCCTCATTACTTTTCTACCTGGAAACACTTAGAAGTTCCTTGTCAATTCTTTGCCTCTTCCTAAGGTAATGATAACTTCCTAATTTTTAGTTAACTGTTAGGTTTTTCTTCATTTGTTTCAGATTGTGATAAACAACGCAGCTGGAAACTTCATTTCCCCTTCTGAGCGACTTTCTGCTAATGCATGGAAAACAATAACTGATATTGTGCTTAATGGTACTGCTTTTGTAACTCTGGAAATCGGAAAGGAGCTCATTAAAGTACAAAAAGGTATCTTAAGTGTAAGATAAATAGTAAGTAAGCACTGTGACATTATTACTTGCTTTCCTTGCCTTAAAATTATTATGGCTAGTTTTGAGAGTTTGAAAACAAACAATTTTTAACACTGTATCTTTTCTAGAAACAAACTATTTTGAGTAAAGCCATACTTTTAATATCACACAGCAGAACTGGTTAGCAATTACTTCATTGTAGAGTCTGCCCTTAAAATTGGTCTCACAGGCTGTGAGGTTGAATATAAAAATCTGATTGCAGTTCAGACTAGTTTTGAAACAATTTTAAAATTTAAAAAATAAGACTTAGTTTAAAATATAGGCTGTTATTTCTTTTGATACTTTTATATCAATGTTGGTTTCATTGAGCAACTGAACATGTATTTATTTAAATGCAAATAAGGATATCACTTTTGAGTTTTCCTCCTACAAATAAGTAAAATTCAAAGCTTTAGTATTGGATTAATAGCAGGTTTTAGTTTTGCAGGTCTAATTCTTCATTCTAGACTACCTAGTAATTTGATAAAATACTTTGGCTTTACCTGAAAAATATGAGAGTTTTTTGATATGCTCAATAGCCAAAGATTTTCTTAGCTGGATA